CATCACGTGAACAGACAAGGCTTCTAGGACTTGTGTTCCTCTTGCTTCTCTTGTTCAGTAATGTTAATGAGGGTGAGAGAACTGAAGATGTCACATGGCCATAAATTCGTATAAATACAATTTCCTTGTTTTTTTTTTAATTTACCTTTTGTCTTCAAACTTTTTTTTATTATGCTTTTATGTTTATTTTTATCAAATTATTTTATATTTTCTTTTTCTATTTTCTGCCTTAACCTCTTCCCAATCTCAGCCCTTTTCTTTCTCCCTCATTCAGCCACATTCAGTGCTTCATTTATCTGTAACATCTTTGTCTCAATCTGTCTAAAACTGGTAAGGAAACATTCGACCTCAGTTTGTCCTTCAACACTTTATTCTTAGTTTCAAAAATGGAAGTGATAAGTGAATCTTTATTTTCAGTTTATTTTTCCACTGTTTATTTTTCCTTTTTCTGTAGTAAATTTTATCAAACTGGTATTTATAACTATTCCATAGTTTATATTCCTCTTACTAGTTCATACCGTCTCACCTCAACTTATTTCTTGGTTTACATTTTTTTGTTTGTTTTAAAAGCATAATTCTGTTAAGCCTCATCCAGAAACAAAATCAAATATTAGCTAAACTCAGGTGCTTGAGCCACCTGAAATTAATATTCCTTTTGTATGCAGGGACCTCCATTAAAGTTTAGAGGCAATCCTTGATATGAACGTTGGAATAAAGTGATATTTACTACTATAGTTCAAATATGTATCATTGAAATCTTACCACCGATATTCAGTATTAGCCTTTCCTTCCATATGAGAGGAATATATATTGTGTTAATGAGTTTATTATTCAAAAGTTTCATAACTCAATTTTGCTGACATTAATTGCTTAATATTTTTAAGGAAAAAAACATGATTCTGAATTAAAATTTTTCATTGCAAAAAAAATTTTTTTCATTGCATTTCTTTTTTCCCCTCAGCTTTATGGAAGTATAATTGACAAATAAAAATTGTATATATTTACAGTACATGATATTTTGATATATGGACAATATGAAATGATTATCACACTCAATCTGATTAATATACCCAGCACTTCACAGTTATCTTTATTTTTTAATGTGATGAAAACATTTAAGATTTATTGTCTTAGCAAATTTCGAGTATATAATATATAGAAGTATTAACTATAGTCACCATGCTATACTTTGGATCTCCAGAACTTATTTATTTATATAACTGAAGCTTTGTCCTCTTTGACAAACATCTTTCCAGTTCCCCACCCCCAAACCTGTGGCAACCACCATTCTATTCTCTGCTTCTATGAATTGGACTTTTTTAGATTCCCCATACAAATAAGATAATGCAGTTTTTTGTCTTTCTGTGCCTGGCTTATTTCACAAAGCATAATATCCTTCAGGTTCATCTACTTTGTTTCGAATGACAAGATTTCTTTCTTTTTTAGGGTTGACATAGTCAGCCTTAAAATATTCCTCTGTGTATGTGTGTGTGTGTGCGTGTGTGTGTATACACACACACATATATATATATGTGTGTATGTAATCATTCATATTTTCTTTATCCATTCATCCACCAGTAGACACTTAGGTTGAATCCATATCTTAACTATTGTGAATCATTTCTGTATTTTTCAAATTGGTTTACAAAAAGAATAGAATACTTTCACTTTTAGTACCAAATATTTTAAAAGGCAGGCATTAGGGAAAATATACATTTCTTTCTTTGAGATGTTGATATCTAACAGATCCTGAACTCTAGCAAAAAAATATTTCCCATTACCTTTGCATTAAGAATAAACCTAGCTTTGGACTAATATTTTCCACTTTTTGTTTTGTCTTCTTAAATAGCATTGCTTATTCAGATAGCACTTGAACATATTTTTTTATATAATACCCGTCTATGAGATGGGTAAATTGATTTACATATATTAAGCTTAAATTGATTTACATATACTAAAACAAAATTCTCCCAATTTCACATAAAAGGAAATATAAGGAATCATTTCACATCTTCCAACTGTTTCAAGTGAATTTATCTTAATGATTTAGTTGAATGATTTATCCAGTGCCGTACTAGAAGTGTAAATGAAAAGTACGACGTGTAAAAAACTCTTATTTCAGTATTCATTCCACAAGTTCAGCATTTCCAAACTAGTACTTGGAACAGTTTATAATGTTAAGTATTTTAAGTTTTAGTACCTCAAGATAAATTCATTTGTTGAATGATTTAATGTTTAAAATATCCTAAATTAAAATATTCAAAGTTCCTTTGCTTTCTTATTGAAGTTGCAATAACTTCAACTCCCTGCAGTGTAGGGTCCACCAGGATAATATTTGAGAATAGAAAGAAAAATATAAGTTATTTGCTTCTAATGTTTACTTACACTCTGGGATGCTCAACAAACTGAATAATTGTCTTTAAGATATTTAGCATTGAAAAGAAAGTTTGGGTTTCTGGGAAGTGTTGGAGTTGCCATTAATTATACTAACCCTAAATCCTTTGAAAAAATGATCATTTTCAGAAAGTTGTGTCAGATTGCTGTAATGGAAAATAGCATTAACATGCTACAGCCATTCTAGAAAAATCCTACTTCAAAATGTCAGAGAACTGCTTGTCTTTTTTTTTTGGACCTAACATGTTAAAAGGTCCCTTTCTGAATTTTTTTCTTGGGATGCTGGGGATGTAAGGTGTAGTGTATTCGTACGTTCAGTAATACTTTTCTTCAATAATAATAACACACAAAAAAATAGTAAGCAGAGCTATATATCTAACCCCAAAGAAGCTGAAGACCTTAGATATTCCTCAATAAGTATTTCCTTTACCCCCTGCCAGTACACCCGAGGAACCTTTTCCAGATAAATTTACCCATACCAGTAATCAAATCTAAATATCACAGAAATAAGTTGACATCCGTTATTTGCTAAGCCAAACAAAGGTTTATCATTCTTTTTCTAACTTTTCCTTCACCTACTCTGCCCACCCCACTTAGTTTTCAAAGCTTCTTTAACATCAGAAACGGTCATTCCTAGTTTATGTCAAAATCAGTGCTTTGAAAATTGAAAGTCTTTATTACTTTCTGTAACTGTCTTCATTTTTAGGCTAAAATTACAGAGTACTTCCTTTTTTTGGTTCCTTCTAGCTCCTAATAAAATTTTTCATATTGAGAATTTCTAGTAGTAATTTTTACAAGATTAATCATTCATTTAATTATTTTGTTATGATTTGTTTAACATATTAAATTGTCAAATGTTTCTAGTCTCTTAGTATTACCTCTGATTTTTTTTTTTTTTAGAGAGACAATATAATCTTTTAAAGGTTTGTTTTCATACTTTTGTAGTATCCTGAATGGTTGGCTAAGTTTAAAATGTTGCCTTTCTTCCTAGTCCACACTAAAAGCCATTGAGTGTTCTAATTGCACATAACACTAAATAAAAACTTTGTCAAAAAAAAAAAAAAAAACAACTTTGTCTGCCACTTTTAAAAACAAACTGTGAATGTGAAAATGTCTTCTGATGTGACTGCTTTATTAAGACCAATAAAGCAGTTTTAATCCAGAAGGCATGGCCTCAATGTTTGTCAAAGTATGCAGCAGCAAATGATCTTTATTTTACCTCAACCTGACAACATAATATATAATATCACAAATTGTTTGAGTTGCCAAGATTTTAACTAATTACTCTAAAGTAATACTCTATTTTAGAAATGTTAACCAAACACTGGTATTTAGAAAATACCGTATTATGTTAGAATGTATATCAGAAAAGTTAGAAAAGCTACATTAATTAGAAAAAGCTGGAAAAAGTAGAGCAATAAACTGAATTAAATTGGAAAAGATTAATTTAAAGAAAAGCAAACAAAAATCATCAAATCTTTTTCTTAAAGGACAAATAGATTCCTAAGAACTTGAAAGAACTTTTCAAAAAGCAAGATTAAAAGCTGTACTGAGATAATAAGAAACAGTAAGGTAAAAATCACTCATTTTAATAATAGCTACAATGACCTTAATTGAATAAAATCTAAAAAGTCACTAAATATAAATGTCCACTGGTTTGAATTTGAACTTGTGTAAGACCTATGCAGTTTTGGCTGAATTATAATTTATGATTGTATAATATTAGGACTCCTTAAAATCTTTGCATATAACTTTATAAGGTACTCAGAGTTTTCTATGTATGATTGAAGATTATATTAAAAATCTAAACCATACAGTAGATTATCACACGTTTTTCAATGTTGACTTTTAAATGTCAGAATAAATGTAATACCAATGTAAGCCACAGGGTGGGAGTGAAAGGCAAGAACTTGTGTTAAAGTAGCTTAAATACATAATTACAGTATCTTTAAAATGCTTGTTAAATGCTTAGGAGCTGTAGCTTGGTTTTCTTCCTCTAATACTGCTGCATTCCTCAGCAAAGACTATAACAAAATACAAAGACGTGGATTTAAATGTATAGACCAATAATGGAAAAGAAGTACAGACACAAACACACACACACACACACACACACACTATTTTTTTCTCCCTAAAGTTTCTGGTTATATCAGGTGTTACTGAGATGATCAGAGTAGCAATTTTGATCAATATGTAAATTTGAGGAAATTCCTTGGAATTATCAGTATTGGAAACAGTAACTTAAGAAATTACCAGAAATACTTTATGTCTTCATCCTATTGTTTATTGTTCTACCTTCATTTTCCTTTTCCCCTGATAGTTCTCATTTAAAGAAAAAAAAAATCTGTTGTACCATAAGTATATCTAAATAAATTTAGGTAGCTTCCAGACGTATCTATATGGATCTATAGATATATAGTTATCTATATAGATGTATAGTTCTATCTATATATATTGTTATATACATATAGATCTATAGATAGAACTGCAAACTACCTAAACTTATTTTTCATTGAGGAATATAAATTTTCCATGTGTTTTCTGTTAACCCATTCTCATTTGAGTTTAGAAGCAATTTAAAGTGGTGATCATTTTGTATCTTTAAGGAAAGAAGACAAGAGATTTCTTCTCCTAGAAAAGAAACTTCGCCAGGGAGTCTTGGCATTCCTTTATTCCATGAAAGGTAGTTCTGTATTCTTTTTCAGCAAATCTAAAAATTATAAATATCAAAATATATTCTTATTTACATATTTTTAAATGTTAGCAATTTAAATGTAAGAAAATAGCAGCTTCTTAGAACTAGAAGAGACCAATCTAAAACTCTTCCATGTTAAAATGACCTAAATAAGTCATACAGTTAATAGCAGAGATGGGTCTAAAAACTAGATTCTCTAAAGACCTAATATTTCAATAGACCAAGTATTATGACCACATTGTTTTACAGATGGCTCTTAATGCGAACCATTAAGTTAGGAATATTTAATTTTCTATTCAAGATGCTTATAGAGAACAAAAATCAATACATTGAAATTTCTAATGTGAGAATGAGACAGCACAAGTGTGATATATGAATAAGTAGATATGCTAGTCTGCATTACATATATGTATTAGAACTTTTCATTTTTCTCCTGGTTCTCCAAACATTAGAATATTTGAGGAGGATGTTTTCTAGGAATTTAAAATATTTGTTTAACAAAAGTTAAAACCTTTCAATAATTATTTTGTGGTAATAAAAAGATGCTATGTAAGTTTAATTTTGATTTTAAAATATTTGAAGCTATAGCCTTACATTTTAAAATATTGATTTATTTTTAGCAGTTATATAGAGAAGACTTTCTGGGATCTGAAAGAAGAATTTCATAGAATACGCATGCTAGCAAAAGCACAAAAAGACCACTTAAGCAAACTTAATGTACCAGCCACTGCAAATGGTAAGTTTGATTTAATGTAATATTAATATTATTGGTAGTATTTATTGGTTGAAATTGATTTCTTTTTGATTGTGAAAACATTTCTAAGTGCTTATTAAGGGCTAAGGCTCTGCAACTTGCATCTCACACCGCTTATAATCGGTAAGTGCTGTTTAAGTTCTGTAGTGTATTATATTATGTAATTGGCTTTTTCTCTCTTTATTGTATATGGCACTATATATATTGAAATGAATGACATAATTACTAATCTTCTTAATGAGAAGTTTCAACCTGGAAAACGTACAAAATAAGTATAGGATATATCTCTCAAAGCGTTCGGTTGCTATTTGGGGGTCTTATTAAACATTAATTTATGTTAGTAAGCAACCTTGAAGCTGCACTACCATATATGAGCTAAGTAAAATTATAACATTAGGGCTTTTTTTAACTTCTGCCTGAAAGTTAATGGAACAGTACAGATAGATTCTTGTAATTTGATTTGAGAAATAAACATTACCTGTTTCATGAAGGCCAGTTCTGTTGGAGGTACAAAGTACAAATTTAGTATTAGTATAAAAAATCACTTAAAAGGAACATGTGTTGTACACATGTGTTGTAATGTGTCTTTTAAAAGTTCCACCTTTCCCTAAAACCCCAGACTGGCTTTCTGGTGTTTGCATGAGTAGTTCAATATAAATAGCAAAATACTAGGGATTGAATCTGGCTACTAAGCACTTCTGTAAACAAAAGGAAGGTAAACTGATCACTTATGATAAATTTGCCTTTAGTCTTGTGACTTGAGATATTTCTGCATACAAGTCCCAAGAGACGTGATTTACTGTTTTCACTCTGAAAGATGTTGCAGCAGTGCTAACACCCCTTTAATTAAAGATTACTTTCCATTTCTTATAGCTCTTATATCTAGGCTATTTAAAAGTCATTCTATAGTGTAAATTCACTTTTTGCTTACTACTGTCATTTTATTTTCAGAAAAGGAACACAATGTGGTATTGGAAAAACAAAACAATCTTTGTAGAAAGACATAATTTATTGCTTCTCCTCCCTTCCTCCTACCTCTCCAAAAGGGCTCTAATTTTTCCATCTTAATTTTTGTCATTTTTATTAGAGATCGATCTTTTGTGCCAACTAAAGACAGAACTTCTGAAGTAAAAGAATTATTTTTACTTAAAATATACTAGCTATAGAGATGTAGCACCTAGAATTCATAAACATGCTTTTTTGAACATCAACATCTTATCAAAACATTGGAATGGTGATATATTCATTGGCCCTACCCTGTTATCAATGGCTTAATACTTTGACCATTTTTAAATTGCACAGGTCTAAATCTGAGTATATATCTGTCAACTAGAACACTGAGTGTTTAACTTCAATTTCTTTCCCACTGAAACTGCTTCCTAACATTATTCTTAAGCTTTACCATAACTGTCACAAATAATAAATACAACGTTATTCTGGAAATGTTTTAGTTCTGTTGTGCTACAGACTTCAGTGAAGTAAACCAAAATATCAAATATTATGCTTCTGACAGTAGTAGATAAAAGAGGGAAGAAAGAAAAAAATATTTTGGAAAAAGATTTCTTCTCAGGTGTTACAGAATTGGGTACTCAACAGTTGGTTTTCCTGACTGTTTCCTAGAATTTCCTGCCATTCTTAAGTCTACTACCAGGAAAATGACTACTTGAGAGTTAATGGACCTAAGAACCTTAGAGTACAAAGAAATCCTGCTAAAAATTGAGCTTCTTCTCAATTACTGTACCATTCCTAGTCCCAGATTCTCTAGTAAATGTAGACTATTACACTAAGCTCTGTAGGGAAGAGAATACAGATTTATTCAGAATGCATCTATTGAGGGCATTCTATATGCCAGACACTGGCAAGGGTACTAGGGATAAATGGAAAACAAAACATAGTTTAGGACCTCGAGAAACCTTCTTTAATAAGAAAGAGAGATATGCTTGCAAATACAATATAGAGTGTTTAGTCTGCAGAGCATCCATGCATCATGCCTAAACCAGTCTTGGGAAGCCAGAGAGAGCCATCCAGAGAAACTTCATGTTTAAGATAAGAAGTGAAAAATAAGAGTTAGGCAAAGAGTAGTAGGAGGGTATACATCAGGCAGTCTGCAGAGCATGTGCAAAGGTCAAAAAATAAGAGAGCAGGGCTATTTTAGAGAGCTCTAACAAAGTTCATTATAGTTGGAGAACAGAGTGAAACAGGTATGGTGAGAGATAAGAACATGGAGAGGTGACCAGGAGTCAATCATGAACAGTTTTATATGACTGAGGGCTGAGGGCCTTGGAAAGCCATGAAGAAGTTTTATTAGGAAAGTAACAAGACCAGATGTGTACTTTAGAAAAACTAAGGGAGGGTGGGGGGAAGCAATGTAGAGAATGGATTGAATATGAAATAAATTTAGAGGCAAGAAAGCAATTCCAAGGCTTTTGTAATCCAGTAGGAGAAGATGTTATATACTAAAGAGAGGCAGTAGATATATAACAGGGTGAACCAAAGAAGTTGGTTGTATTGTACTACCGTCATGTCCAAATAAAAAATATCATGTTGGAATGTGCTGTGGCATGAGACTGCAAAGACTAGAGGAAGGGAAAGAAACTGACATTTGTTAAATGCCTACTAACCTGGATTGTGCAGGGTGCTTTGTATATCCTGTATGCTTAAATTGGCATGAAAATTGGTTAAATTTTCCATTTGTGAATGTACAACTTCATTGATGACTACCTTTTCAGAGAGCTAATTTAAAAATTTTTTTACCATTTATCCATTTAATGAAAATACCAACCTCCAACCTCACTGCCTTCTAGAAGTAACATTGTGGAACATAATCGACCTTTTTCTGATATCTCAGAATCATCAACTTGGAGAGTGCTTTGATCACTGGGTTTGTTTGTTTTGTGTTGTTTTGTTTGCATTGAGAAATATAGCCCTTGTTGGCCCCACACTAGACTGGTGTTTTCTGAGTTCTTACATCTGCCTTTTCGTTTTTCTTCTCTCCTCTCCTGCTTTTAGCTCTTGTTGATATGTATATCTGCTCTCAGCAATATGTACCCATACCTTTTAATTTGCTGCTTCTAACCAGCTATGAGCTGGGTTAACCTCATCAAGCTTATTAGAATAAATCTAAAATGAAAATAAGAGCAAAATTTATATGTCTGTGAAGCTTATGGCTCTAATTCTGACTCCTCAGAAGCTCTGTTTACTTACTTTTTAGCTTTTGCTTAAGTTCTAGAGAACTGGATTTGTGGGATAAGTGACTTCTAGATAAATGAGCTACAGAGGCCCTAGTATGTACCTGAGATCTGCCTGTTATCTAGAGGCCTTTTTAATCTATAAGATGAGAAAATCTTATATTCACATACAGTTTTCTAAACATACATCCCAAAATTTCATCCTCCTTTTGCCTCCACTGTCTTCTTTCCCACCCCCTGACTACCGCTCCATCACGTAGATTATTGAGAGTAGACAATAGCTAAATTGATTGGTGATATACTTTGTCATACAGTGATATTAGAGGAAATAAATGACCTAATTCATATGGATAATAACCTGTTTTATATATAGATATGCCTAGTAAGGATTTTCCCTTTTAACAACTTATTTGTCTAAGCAAGCTCACAGTTGCAGCTTCCATTACTGACAAAATGTTTAAATGTATACACTACAAGCAAATGTTTTTTACGTGTAGAGCAGTAGAACTGTGAACAAGATACAAAGCTTACAGCAAAAGACCTGGGAAAAGACAAAGCAGTTAAACTGTAACTAATAAGCTACATTCCAGCTCACCCGCTGAAGACTGCTAATATTTCTGTGTAAAATGGTAGCAAATGTAAAAATCCCAATTGTCTTCAGTTGCTATAAAAACCAGTAGGAAAAATAATACTCATCTGTCCAAATCTAATTGAATATTCAGATTGTTAAGAATGATTGGAATGTGACTATTTTCCTTTTGTGTTCTTTTCCCTGTAGAAACACAATGCTCGATGCCTATACAGTGTACAGATAAAACAGATAAACAAGAAGCGCTTTTTAAGCCTCAGGCTGAAGATGATATAAATAGAGGTGCACCATGCATCACATCTGTCACACCAAGAGGACTGGGCCGAGATGAGGAAGACACCTCTATTGAATCACTTTCTAAATTTAATGTCAAGTTTCCACCGATGGACAGTGACTCTACTTTCTTGCATAGCACTCCAGAAAGACCCAATGTTCTTGGTCCTGCCACATCTGAGGCTGTGTGCCAGGATAAATTTAATATGGAACTTAGAGACAACCCAGGAAACTTTGTTAAAACAGAAGAAACTTTATTTGAAATTCAGGGAATTGACCTCATAGCTTCAGCAATACAAAACCTTAAAACAACTGACAAAACAAAACCTTCAAATCTTGTAAACACTTCTATCGGGACAGCTCTGGATAGAGCTCCGTGTTTGCCACCTGGAGACCATAATGCATTATATGGAAATACATTCCCACTTCAGGACCTATCTGATGCACTTTTTCCTTCTCTTGATTCCCCAGGAAAAGCTATCCGAGGACCACAGCAGGTAACTGTTTTGCATTAACAAATATATTATGTGTGAACACACATTTTACCAGACATGCACAGCTATGCATCTCTTTCACGTTTATCGGAAATCCTTTTTAAACTAATGACTAGCCAAAGTTAAGCTCTCAATAAAAGATTCTGTAATAAATGTCATGAAATTATAAAAGATGAATATGGTAAAGCTCTATAATAAAGTATTTTAAAATTTATGTCACATTTTAAAATACATGTTAGCTTTATCCATAACTAGCATGTGTCACTTTTTTAGTCCCTTATTCAAAAGCTCTTTTACTTACCATTAGTGTTATAATAGGATTCTTTATTAAATTTCATACTGTGAAACACATGGCATTTTTCTATTAAAAAGTTTGTGTAGATCATACTCATCTTTATAAGAATGCATGATTTTTCATAAGTAAATAATTGCACGTATATTCCTATTTATCAAAATAAGTGACCTGTCTTTCAACTAATACTTCTACTACATTCTCAGTTGTATAGTACGTAGATATGTAGGATTTGGTTTTGGTTTTGGTTTCTAATCTGGCACTGAACATGCAGCCTAATATATTTTTTAAATTGTTTCTGCATATGTATGATTTTAATCAAATAGCTTAATATTCCTAAAACTTGCAGATGACTCATGGTCCCCCAATCAAATCCTACCACCCCTTTTTATTCAGGTCCTATCACAGGATGATTCTTTTAAAAAAAATTTTTAATGCCTGAAGGCAAATGAAAATATATACTTCTTAGAATAAACAGATACTCATGAAAATACAGATTGGTGTAAATGTCTATATAACTTGCAAACATTTGCGTGATTTCTCTGTCTTAAACAACTTGATGAATTCCCTTTGGCTTTATAAGTACTCTTATAGGCTATAGACTTTTAAATCAGCATACAAAGGAGGCAATAATCAAGCTGTGATATATTTTAGTAGTGGGGAAAACTAGGCATTTTTGACAATAAGCTTTAATTATAAACTCACTTGTGTTCTACATTGTACCTTATTTCACATCATAGTCTCAGTTATAGTTACTACTAAATGAAGCAAATTAAGCAATTTCATTTATTGCAAATAGAATGCCCGTGGAGCTGTGAAGTGCATCAGTTCTAATGCTTGTTACTTTTTTCTCCATTATGTCTCTTCCTTGTTCTTTTACTAGTTAGTCTGTGCATTCATGTTTCAGTAGATGGCACCCTGCATTGTGCATTTGCTTTCTATGCTACAGCAAGGGAAACAGCTGGTATGTGATTACAACTTGATGGAAAAGTATTCAGCTTAAAAAATGCTGGAGAATTGGTGTTGAGCTGTCACAAGACATGGGGCATAAGGTTAGATAATTGATATTTTGGCAGAAAAGGCAAAATTAGTTTGTTTTGAAGGCCCTGTTTAGGACTGAAAGAATATTTCTTAAAATGGGTTTTTTAAAACACTTTGATATGTTATTTGTATTAATAAAGCTAATATGATAAATATAAAATCTTGAGTTGTTGATAAGAGGCGTGAAATTGCAGTTACATATTTCAGATTTTTACTTTTTATCAATCATTATTACCTAACACTTTTTAAAATACATTCAGTTTATCACTACAAAATCTAAAATATATCAGTTTATATTTGCTCTGTGTCATAGTTTTCCTATTTTTGCTGAGTCAGTGATTGGAGTCCCAACTGAATTCTATGAAGAGATCAAATCTGAACTAATAGCTCCTCATAGAGAACGATAAATATGGACTTTGAAGATAAATTGGCAGTAAAAAAAATTGGCTCTCCAAATTTAGAAGCTAAGTTGCTTCTAAGTCTGTTTATTATTTTGTAGATCTTATTAAGAATTATTTTAACATAATCCTTTATTTCTATCTATATCAATTTCCCATGAGAGTGGTACATATTAATCAGTTGTACTTTTTGTTTAAAACTGCAAACAGTAAAATTTTAATCTAGTTAACTAATTAGGTTTTTGCTTTTAGACTCACAATTATTACTACTTTTCTTTTATCAGGAAAGAAATATTTTTCTAAAAATCGTTTTATCTCAAATTTCAAAAAATGTTTTAAATATTGCTATTTTTTATAATAAAATTAGTACTTCTCACGAAAAGAATTGAGTCAGTGTTATTATAAGCCCTCTGTACTGATATTTGAATGTATCTCGGTACTTAGACAGATTTTGTATATTTACACCAACTGTACACAGCTGTCCAGTAAAAATGTTTATAAGAAGACAGCGATATTGTGAAACCCAAATGCTTCAATTAATAATATGTATACTGTTTATGTAAATGATTGGTTAACTAGAATGAAAGAGATTGGGTAAGAGAATGAAAACTAACACTGTATCAAGTGTTAGATTAGGCCGTTACTTTAAAAGCATATTAATAATACCAGCACAAAGGTGTCTCTTTAAACTGACTTTTTGAGGTGATTGTCCTCAAAGTATCAGAATTTAGCTATGTCAAGGTAATTTACCTGTATCAAGGTAAGAAAGCAAATTTAAAAAATTATTTGGTTTATAACATTTTAGGAAAATAAAATATTCCAGTCAACAAATATTTACTGAGCACCTACTATGGAACTAAATGCTTCTTCTTGCCCTTCTAGATTTAAAAAAAATAAATAAATTCAATTATTTAAAGGTATTTATGTACTGCCTATAATAGGAGTAATTCTATTGAATTATTATTTTCTGTAATTCTTTAACTGGGCAACTATTGACAGGTTTCACTTCATTCAGCCTCAAGAAAGAATAAAGAAGTCCAAACTATGTAACAGGAGAAAAATAAGAAACCAAAAGAATGTATCGATGTTAGATTTTGTTGAATGATTCATTTAAATATTTAAGGTTTCAAAAACCCGATCAATGGAATTTCTTTAGTACTTTGAAAGAGAAAACTTCTTTTCAAAAAGTCAAAACAATATCTATTCTTAGATGATTTATTCATTGTGTATTTACTTATAAATAGTAGTGAAATTTAAATAGCTCTTCAGCAAAATGCATGTACACATACACTATGTCCGGTGTACTATGTATAAATAAAGGTCCTGTAACTTAAGGATTCTATCGTAAAATAGAAAAGATAGGATTTAATTTTTTAAAACGCTCAATTATTGACTGTTATTCCAAAGCTACTGCCTTTGTGATAACGGGTATTAAAATAGGCTGGTGTTAAAGCTGGAAGATTTTTAAATATGTGAAGATAAAGTGCATAGATATGTATTTTAAGTGATTCTTCATCAAAGTTTAGTTGTGCCCTTTATGAAAAAGAGAATCGAGTCATGTCTCATGCTAACTCTATGGAAAAGTAATTTGCTTTCTTTCATATTAGAGAATTTCATATATACATGCATATAACCCATTCAAAAAATTTGAATTTGAAATGTAATGCAAGTTGATTTTACAAATAACAAAATGTTTTTGTTTGTTTCCTGCAGCCGGTTTGGAAGCCCTGTCCTAATCAAGACAATGACTTATTGGTACTAAGTGGCACAGGCTCAGAACTGCATATACCTCGAGTATGTGAATTCTGTCAAGCAGTTTTCCCACCTTCCATTACATCCAGGGGGGATTTCCTTCGGCATCTTAATTCACACTTTAATGGGGAGACTTAAGAAGCATTTGAAAACAGACATACCAAGCTCTGTGTGACGATTTTGGGTTTGTAATACTATAAACACTTGATTACAAACTTAGTTCAAGATCATTTGCTGAAAAATCTCAGATATTTGAATTTTCTAAACTTATATTGTAACTTTTATTATCTTTTAAAAGATCATTCTGTACAAAACTAGTTCATTGTATTCATGTTGTGTTTATCATAATTCAAAATTATGTATGTGACTTACAGAATTGTATAACCATAATTTATGTTTGTTTCAAATATCTAAGCTTATTGCTTAGATTTCTAGTTAGATCTATTGAATTTGGTGATGTCCCATGTTTATAGGGTTTTTTTCATTTGTTTTCATTTAAAAAGTTAGATTATTTATGCTGTAGGTGATGTTCTTTTTGAATAAACCTGTAATAGAGAATAGCAGACAACTTAAACATCTAAATAAATACCGAACCTAAAACATTTGCTGCCCAGTGATAAGATCACTGGTAGAATTATTTAAATACATCACATTTTTAAAAATAATATACGTTTTTAATTTTTACTGTGTTTATAGCCACATGATGAAATGAGTGAAGTATTCAAAGAGTTACTTATATTGTGTTCATTAATGTGTTCTTTGTTCCTGAGTAAAAATTATAAAAGAAATAAATCACATTTTGGGGAAGTTTATAAAATTTTTCTTTCCAGTAACTTAATAGAAAGGTGATACCAGATCTAGCAATATTTTATTACAAGTAGATCACTTTGAATTTTTAAATTATTTTTCAAACTAGACTTGCTAAAGAAACATTTCTATTTAATGGGAGCAAATCTAAAACCCTGTAAAGACTATATCCATATTTATTAATTTATATTAGTAATGTTCACATTCTTGTTGAGAAATTTGTTATTCATTGTTAGCAGGCTGATTGATAGCCACAGGAAGGCATTTAAGGGAAGAAACCAAATTCAGAAACCTGCAGAATTTTATTTAAAATGACATTTTCTTTCATTTTTCTTCCCTGTGATTGTCTTTTAGGGTCCACCCCCCACCCCATTTTAAAAAATGTTTAAAAGCATGACTTCCGTTTTATGAAGTAAACGTTGATTTGCAACTCTCAAAACAGAAATTTAAGCCTTCTTTGGAGAATGTGTTTTGAAACACTGGAGGGTATAGAATGAGGGAACTGGAGCAGGCCCCTGTGCCACAGTGAAGAGCCTTAACTTAGGAAGAATGATAGTGGTGCCTCAACTTCTCAGGATGCCAAGCACATCACACTGACATCTTCCTCACCAAGGTGACATAGCGATTATTAGATATTCACTGTGAAGAGTTCTGAGGCATGTACATCTTTCTTTCATTGCCACTGGGGCTGAATGGAAATGCCTAGACAATTATCCAAGTCTTTTCTCTTCTCCCCCTACCTTCCACCCACCCAGCTTCCCCTCACTCCTCTCACACACCCACAAATAAAACTTCCCAGAGTGTACCAGCCAGGATATACCATTGCACTGATCTTGTGAAAGAGGATTCCTTTTCCTTCTCCTTTTCTAGAAGAGGTAAAGTCCCTTACACAGTTGACATCTGCTAGCCTTCTGACAACCGAAAGAAATTGTAGTCCAGAAAATGACTCAAATTAAAGTGTATCCCTGATCCCTCCTACAGTCCACTCATTTCCCACCTTCACGACTTTTAGTAAGAGCGGGGAATTCTTTTTTCCTTTTGGTTTCCAGTGCTACCCCAACCTCCAACTTCCGAGGCACAGAGGCCCCTTGGGCCACAGGAGAGGCAGCCTGGTGCACGGGCTCCTGTCCCCCACTGCAGAGGTGGCGCTGGCTGCAGCTCGAAAGGTGGAGTGGGCACCCGCCAGGTATCTCCCTCTGTCTCTTATTAGAGTCGTGCAGGGACTGTCTCTTGGCATCTGCTAAGCGTGGCCGGGTAAGAACAGCTCCCAGGTAAAAAAGCTGCACACACGAAACGCTGAGTCTGAAAAAACCACCCCCGCCGAGGCGAGGCAGTTGTGAGCGGGATGCCTGAGAAGTGGGAGGTGAATGTCCTCAGGAGGGCCCCCCGGTGCAGCTTTCCCCGGAGGCTGAGGCTGCTGCCAGCGGGGACATCTGCTTTCTTACACTCCCGCCTGGCTCACCCCGCCCCCTCAGCCCGGGTTGCGTGGTTATTTTACCAACACGGGGGGAGGGAAAGCTCGAGGAGGTAGAAAAGGGGTGGATGGAAGCGCAGGAGATATTCTTCCTAATCTCCCACATCCCCTCCTTTTTCCTTCACATCTTTTAACCTTCAAGGTAAAGACTTTATAAATATGAAACGATAAGCGTGTCCGCTGGCTCCTAGGCCCGCCTTCGGCTCGCGGGGCTCTCGGGTGCCAGGCCCTCGCCTTTCTCTCCATCCTCCCCGGAGTCCGGCCGGTTCCGGAGGTTCAGCGGGGCCCGCCGGGTGCGCCCAGCCTGTGGCGCCTTCTCTCTCCGGCTGCTGCCTCGACAGCTGCTTGTAGCTACAGTAATTAGACTGTCAGTGCTTGTTAGAGAGGAGAGGGGAAAACACGCTTCTGACAGCAGATTCCGAGACTCCCCAGTTTGTTAATTTCTAAGAGATCTTTAAAGCATTAATTGAGGTCTCCCCAACTCTCCCCTCCCGTCCTTCTCCCCAACTCCTCCCTTCCCAAAAATATCTTCAGGAGAATTCTCTCCGCGTGGAAGCAGTGTTTCCCGCAAAACTGCAAGCCCGCCCCCGACTCACGCACATACAACCCTATTTTACATCTACATATAGATGCACACACGTGTACGCGTAAGGTTAACTCCGCGGAGGCCTCGTCCAAATAGGGACCGGGATTGCATTTAAAATAATAATAATAAATAAAGAAACTAAGAAGGAAAGGGGGGGAGGGAAGCAGAAGTCGGGAAGAAAAGAGAAAAGCAGCAGGCTGATTACGAGGTGTCAAAACTGCCAGGAGCAAGAAGGTGATAGCAATCAGGGGTGAGAAGAGTGCGGCATTCGTGCGGGGCAACTAATTATCCGTCTCATTTGAGAAGAGCAGCATTTGAGG